GTTCCTGTCTACCAAAAGGAGTCATTTCCCTTACCTCCAGAAGAAGGGGCATATGGCTACATGTGGTGCCTATCAGTATATCAAAACTCAGGCTGGCTTCCAGATCATTCAGTATCCCAAGTACCTATTACACATTTCAAAATCCATGCTAGCATTCTATCCCTTCTTGTCCCCTCTCCTCCCCTAAACTCCTTCCAGCTCATGGGCTTTCCTCTACACCCCTATGCCCCCAGCTACCTAGTCTCCTTATAATCCTGCTATCCTCAACATGTTTTCTCTATGCTCTGCTCCTTCTATTCTCCCCTTTCTTGCTGTTTGCTCGCCATGTTTGGTCTACTTCTTCCTCTCTCTGCTCTGGACTCTCCCAGATGCATCTGGTCGTTCTCTCTCTTATATCTACAGTAAAAACATCTTCTTCACCACACCATGGAATAGTCATCCTGTCAGTTTGCACAGTTATTAAGCAAACAAACATACAAAGGCATGTAGTTGGGGATGGGTTGAGAGAAGGGATCCAGGAGGAGTAGGAGGGGCCCTGAGGGATGATTATGATCAAAATGAATTATATACATGTATGAAAAATTCAAAATAAAGAAATATTGTTTCCAGTCTAGTATGATTGCTTCTTTCAGACTTTGTTTAGAGCTAAACAACATATAAGCCATCACAAACATGCCTCTTAATTTGCTTAATTTCTTAAATTTTGGTAAAGTACTAGACTGTATTAAGTATATACAAACTCCCAAAAGAATAGAAACTTGAACCTTTTCCAAGCCCACACTTTTTAAAAAGGCAAAATGTTCTGGCTTACTTTCTGCTGCTGTGATAAAGTATCCTAACAAACAATTTAGGGAGAAAAAAGGCTTTAATTCAGTTTATAATTCCCGTTTACAGTCAGTCATTGTGAGAAAGTTATAGCAGGAACCTCAAAGAGCTAATCACATTACATTCAAGAAAAGAGCTTAGCCCCTTTCTTGCTTGTTCTCAGCTTGATTACTCTTATAATGTTCAGGACCTTTTACCTAGGGAATGGTACCACCCAAAGTGGGCTGGTACTTATATCAATTAATTATGTTGAATCCCCCATAAAATTGCCCACTCAATATAGACAATCCCTCCCTGAGACTCTCTTCCTAGGCCATTCTTGTCCTTGAATTGAAGTTATATACCAACAGCATATCAAATATGTATGTGTGTATGTCTGTGTTGTAAGTTTATAGGCATGGCTAAAAATGCCTCAAGTTACTCTCCAACAACATGTGGTTGGAGTGAGACAAGTGTGCTTATTGCGAAATTATGCCCTATCCAAAATAAGCTAGTAACTTATCTAAGATAAGCTAGTGAGCATGAGTCTTCACTCACCGAATTCTACATAACATTGCTTCTTTAAAAAAAAAAAAAAAAAAAAAAAAAAAAAAAAAAAAAAACTTGTGATAGCTGGCTTATTGTCATGTGTTCGGAACCCCAGAATTTTGAAGACTGTGGTAGGAGGTCATAAATTCAAGCCCAACTTGTACTATAAGAGTAAGACGCTGGCTACATAAGTAAATAACTTATGCATACTTAATCATCATTCTGTAAAATTTCAAAGTCTCACACTAGCAATGAGACAGTATTTTTAAATTGCATGTGAAATATCAATTGTACTTGAGAATGCTTTCAACATTAGCAATATTAAGACAATATTCTCACATTTTAATTTTTAATTTGCAAAGTTACAAGGAAGCACTGCAAGAAAGAAAATATGAGAAATTTGTTTCTGCTTATTTAAAGGTCTACAGTCATGAGCCTATCAATATGTATGGTCCCTTGTTTCTACTTAGCTCCCAAAGCAGAGCTAGCAAATTGTATCACCACTGGATAAATGTATAATGCATTCATATAACTTAAGTAATTCTTAAGTCTGCTGCCAAGACTAGGCTTAGGAATTGATTTTTCAACCCCCTATTGAAGCAGGAAATGCCACAGCAGTATACACACAAGATAAGACTCTCAACTTACTCTTCTCTTCTAGGTGACACTAATGAAGTAATGAAACAGAATCCACAAAAGAAAAAACAGGCACCATGTTCTGGACTCCAGCTAGCACAGCTCCCAACAAGCTGAGCCTGAGCTGGCTAAATGGTAAACATTTCTGTGGGAAAGGGAGCGCCTTTCGAGGGGACTGGGGATGGTATAAAATTACAGGATTCTAGCATACACATTTACTAAGCCAAAATGTAACTTTAGTGCATAAAAAGAAAGGAAAAGTACCGAGCCTGGCACGTAATAGCCAGGAAAAAGAGACGTGTAAATGTCAAACATATGTCGGTCTGTAGTTTCTAAGAACAGAGAGCTGGGTTGAGAAACACCTTGAGAAAAAGCTGCCCTCTCCTTCATGAGGTGGATTATAGAAACACAAAACAAAGCAAGCTCAGCAGTAAGAAGCTCTTCACAGGGGAGAGGGGCCCCCTGCGGCTGCTGTCATGCCAGCTTTTCTATATTCTGGGCCCAAGGAGGAAATGGCAAGGGTGTGGTCACAGGGCACAGACAGCCCCACACACTCAGCTCACACAGTGTGAGGGAAAGGCACGGGAGGAGGTGGGCCAAGGGATTTGAGCTTAGCCCACAGTCCAGAGTATCTCAGATTCAGGACTAGTTGCAATGTCTCAGCTCCTTCCATACCCTGAGCCCTAGCTAGAAGCAACGACTGAACTAATGGATTAGGAATTTTCATATTTGACATTTCAGTATTGTGAGGATTGAGTAAATGTCAACCATTGTCAGGTTAATACGTGTCCCCCCTTGTCATAGATCAAGTGGCATTAGGAAACAAATCAGTCAAGTGAGAGGCTGACATCCCTTCCTGATGACATTTACAGTTCTGGGAGGAGGGGCGCTAGGTTCAGAGTCTTACAAAGTGGCAGTTTGAGGAAACACAATGAGAGTCTTTTAATTTACTGGAGATAATGTGTTGATGTAAATATTCATTAAGAACGAACTGTGTGAGCTATTGAAACATTGATAGAACTTTTTTAGAGGGAAAGAATCTTTAGCAAATCGTCTTTATAAGCTTCAATGTGGAGGTGGAATAACGGAGGTGATGTTTCCTGTCTTAGGGGACAAGCTGCTCCCCTTCATGTGCTTCCTAATCATTGTTTAGCCACCTACTCTGTGAAAGGGAACTCATATTAGTCTTTATCAAATATTATTGTGAGAATTAAAAAGAATGAAATAGAAACAATTAGAGTTCCTGGTATACTGTTTGTGTAACAGATAGCTATTAAATAGCACAGATCTTCATGACAAAACATTTTACATCTCTCCTCTGTCTCCCAACCCAGAGGATCAGTATGCTGTCAGTTTTCTCTGCTGTATCTTTTGATTCCATCTCTTCTATGCCTGGAGGCTCCCTCTGGGTACTTTAGTATTTGGATCTTGCCTTGATCCCTTTTTTTCTGCCTTGGTTTTGTGTCATCTATCAATTCAGTCTCCCAGCAACTGCCATGGTGCTGTGCGTGCGCTGTCTCTAAAGTCTGAAGTCAGATACAAAAGGCAAGCTGAACAGCCCTATAGGTTTGTGGATGACATCAGATAAGCAGCCACTGGTGGATACACTTGAGAACGGAACACGTGATTGATGTGGATGCTAGCAACGGTGCTTTAGCCTGGAGTACCCCCTCTGCGATGATCATAACCCTGGAATGATTAAATGGCTCATGATCGACTGATGGAAATATCAGTCACTCCTGATGGCCCAACGCTCATGACTGCAGGGCAAAAATGAATTTCAACTGTGGTAGTAACACATCTTTTACTTCTGAAACTTCCAAGTTGAGCTTTCCATGAAGAGAAGCTGGGAATGTAGAAGTGTGTGGTTGTCTTTCCACGTGTGGCACTATACTTTTTGTTAACTTATTTTCGAATCATCTGGGAAATAACAAAATAATGCGATTGCAGCCTAACAAAATGTGTTAGGTGGAGGCTGGTGGGACGCCTCAGGAGGTCAAAACAGCTGCAGGCAAGCCTGATGACTGGAGTTTGATCCCTGGGACCCAATCACATGATGGAAGGAGAGAAGTGGCTTTAACAAGTTGTTTTCTGACCTCCATATGCATACCCACATGGACACAAAATTAACACATAAAATGTATTTAAAAGTTAATCTAGTTAGGATGATATATTGAAGACTGAAAGATAGTTTATATATATATATATATATATGCATATATACATATATATATATATATCTTAAATTTTTAGTGTTTAAACACAAAGGGGGGAATTTTAATGATTTAATAATGATAGTGAGCAAAGAGGATTCTGAATCCAGTTCTGTAGTCCTAAGGTCCACAATATAAAAAGACAACTAAGACCTTTAAAATAGTGTGACTACTTGTGTTAGACGTAGTGACAAGGGAGACTTAATATATATATATTAAGGGAGACTTAATTATATATATATATATATATATATATATATATATATATATATATAGAGAGAGAGAGAGAGAGAGAGAGAGAGAGGTACTAGTGCCTCATATTGGCATTTTGCTGTTACTACTAAGTCTCCCTTGTATATATATATTAGTTCTTTTTATCGTCCCATATGCAGCTTGGAAACTTGAGACTTAGATAATGTAAGTGTCTTGGAATCGAATACTTCCTAGTAGCACAGAGCAGTATAAGCCCTATCTTACTGACGTCTTACTGGTTATCATTAAACCAAGGGGGAAGGTAAAATCAAGTTCCATTCATTTAGCTGGAATATTAGGAGGCCAGAATTCTGTGAAGCTAAGTGAGATCCCACGACATTTTAGAAAGATAATCACAGCAGCTTCCCGGTCACCTAAAACTGCACTGGAGCATCCTTAGGGGCTCTGATCTTGGCTGTCAATTTGACCTCTTTTGGAATTAACAAACAGCCAATCAGCTGGGCACACCTGGGAGGGGTTTTTCTTGGTTGGATTATTTGAGATGGACCCCACCCTAATCTGGATCAGTTGAGGTCAGAAGACTCACTCAAAATCTGGACCACACCTTTGTGGAGCTCACAGAAAAAGACAAGGAAGATGGAGGCTTCTGCCTTCTGCCTGCTCACCCTCACTCTCACTGGCCAATTCCTCCCTCCTGTTCCTTGAGAGGACCCTGAAGAATACCGGGACGTTTTAGTAAGTCTTGTGTCGGGCTCCTGTGGATTTCAGAGGGTTCTGTCATGCATTCCATTCCACTAAAGAGCTACGGCATTTCCAGCGTGGCTGATCCAGTGAGATGTCTTAACAAACAGCCCAGTGTCTGGGCTGATAAATAAACCTAAAACTTGTATCCCTGACTGCTAAACCGGGCTGTGCTTTTGGGCCTGGGTGCAGTAGTAACTGTCCACTTCCCTTCTCAGGGCTAATCACAGATCTCTGGCACAGCCTCTTCCCTCACTGCCACCCGGACTCCATTTGGCCGCCTGGTCCTCACTCTTCACTAAATTGTAACTCTGGCACCTCAGGTCTCCTGGTTCCAGTGCTTTAAATCTTCACAAGGTGAAAGAGATGTGGGGGAGGGTAATACACTGGGGGTGGGGGGTAAAAGAGCTAATTTATATCTGTCAGGTCCAAAGGAAACTCCAGTTCCCCAAACTCCAAAAAGCACTCCAAATATCCAGACGTGAGTTCAACCTGCTATGGGAGGGTTTCTGGAGGTTAGATAAAAGCCAGCACACCTCAGGAACTTGTAAAGTCAGTTCCCTTCTACCAAAAGGAGTCATCCCCCTTACCTCCAGCAAAAGCGACAAATGAATCTCCAATTAACATAGACCTCTGACACCTCTCAGCATAATCAAGGTCTATGCTACCTCCAGGCTCCAGCAGTCCCTTCTCACAAGTACTTGCTAGACATTTCAATGCTCCCGTCTCCTGGCCCTTCCCTCCCCTTCTTATAACCCGGCTGTTTGCACTACTCTAGGCCTCTGCTGCTGCTATTCTCAGTATGTTTTTCTATTCTCTACCCCCTGCTCTTTTCCCCTCTCTTGCAGACAACACTTGCCATGTCCAGCCTGCTGGCCCTGTTCGGTCTACTTCTTTCTCTCCCTGCTCTGGACTCTTCCAGATGCCTCTGTTTATTTTCTCTCTCTTACGCACAATAAAATGTTCCCATATCACAGAGCAGTCACGTCATTTGTCTATAGAATATCGAGGTACGAAATCAACCTGGAGAGCAGGGAACCCGTGAAACACCTTCACATGTTATATACAGGAGCGGAGCTGCTAATGGAATCCCCAGCTTCATGTCTGGGTCCAAGATAGAGGAAGTACTAAATGACAAGGAGGGGAGCCCCTCAGGATATTGTCCATGCTGTTAGTCATAAATATAACCAGGGAAGGATATGGAAACACAACTCCTTGTAGCGGCTTTTCTTGAGGGGAGAGAGGAAGGAAGCATGGGCTTTCTCAGCAGTGACCTTTCCAAGCACACTGCTCTGAAAAGGAATACCAAGTTCAACTCACAACTTCCCATCTCAGCTCAGGACTCCTGCTCCTGGGCTGTTGGTGGTCTACACTACCTGAATCACTCTTCACATTTTCGCAAGACTACGAGATGCAAAAATGTGCAGTGTCTACAAGCCGTGACTTAAAAAGGCAGCATTTAAAGAGACTCTGAGCCGAAAGGAACAGAAATCACAATAACTACCCTGGCCCATGAACCCAGAGCTGTGGCTGCAGCTCAGCTCCTGCCTTTGCTTTGGCACAGCGGCTGGAGATTGATTGGCATGGGCATGGCCATGGCTAAGCAGGTTATCAAAAGTGAGTCACAAAGCAAACATTTTAAAGACCTTACTCCAGCACCTCAGTGCAAACTAAGATGTTTGATGGGGATAAGGGGGGAAGGGGAGAAGGGAAGTAAAAGGGGAGGGAGGAGAGAACAGGGGGGGCTAAGGAGGAGGGGAGCGGGAGGAAGAGAGGCTCTCCTGATTCCTTTGTAAAACAGTAAATATTTAAAGAAGGTTGTTTTCCTTTGTCTCTCCAAAGCTCCAGTCATCTGCTATTCCTACTTCCCTTCGGCTCCTTTTGAGAAATGACTATTTTTAAAGCAACATATCATGGGCTGCATGGAAAAAAAAAAAAAAAGACAAAATGTGAATGTATTAGGTGCCCGCCCTCTTGCACCCTGGGTGTTGTGAGCAGGTAATGTGAACAAGCTCTGCTGCCTGGGAGTGAGGCTGGGGGATCTGGCTTGTTTCAGTTCAGGGATCTGGCTTGTTTCAGTTCGGATCCCACCCTTGGCTTCCTTTCACTTAGATAAGCACCGAAAGGTTCAGAAAAGAACAAAACAAAACCAGTTAGGGCTTGCCCACCTCCTGCAGCCCAGGCTCAGTTTGCCTTAGTGTATGCTCCCTGCAAATGAGGGGCAGGATGGGCCTGGGCTCTGCTTGCTTTTTATCTGTGCTCATTCTCACAAGGCAGACAGACATTCCATTGCGCTGAGCAAAGAGGCTGCTGGAAACAGAGGTCAGCCTCCAGGGGCCCTGGGTGCCTCTCAGCTGCCCTCCCTCCTCCCTCTCCTCTCCTCCCTCTCCCCTCCTCCCTCTCTCACACTGAGCCCAACCATTCTCTCCCAGATCAATAAGAACTTGCAGACCCACAGCATCTAAAGCTCAGGAGAGAAATTCTAATGAAGCAATTAAACTGGCAGTTGGAGGTCACTCTAACACTCAGCCCTCAGAAAGGAGACTATGCTGAAGCTGCTTTCCCCTGCTGACACCCAGAGCCACTCCCCAGCCAGCAGGTCCCACTACTGCCTAGCATGAAATACTCATGGTGTATCATTTCCGGAAGCCAGAGGAGAGTTAAGGCCAGGCTGGAAATCAGATGAATAGAAAGCACAGACATGTCACCAAATTTGTTGAAACCCAACTCCTAGTCGCCTTTCAGGTCAGCTCACTGTGGTATCTACCCTCAACATTTTAATAGAAGGTTTTGTTTGTTTGTTTTTTTGTTTTGTTTTGTTTTTTTAATAAATCAGTTTCCCTCTGTTTTCATTATTCCAGGGTGAAATTCTGAAAACTCCACCTGGTCCATGAATCCTAAGTCCTCATACAGCTCAGAATAACGAGGTTCTACATCAATAATAGCGCCAGGAACGAGCGGATTGCAGCACAATCCCACAGGTATCCGCTGCAAATCTTCAACTGCACTGATCCCAGCAGGAGGACAGATGGCAGAGACTCATTCACTCATTAGTCACTGTTTGTCTATTAGGGATTCACGCATCCCCACATTGCTGCCTTTGGGTGCAGCCCGCTGTGGGTTAGATGAAAAGAGGAGATGGACAGTGGTTATTACTGTATTACCTTAGCTAATTGTGCATCCCAGGGATAGAACACCTGACAGACACAACTGAAGGGGAGAAACCTTAAACTGAGCTGATGGCTCTATTTTTAATTTTTAATTTGTTTCCTCTGCATGCTAAAGTTATCCGTTCATTCCCAGTGCTCCAGCTCGGGGCTATTTGTGGGCCCACCTTACCTTCCAGATGCGCTGCCGTCTGTGTACACAGAGGAGAAAAGTGAGATGGCCACTTAGACCCTGGGGCTCTTGCATTCCAGAGACTGAACCTCAGAGGTCCTGTGTGTCAGACTTACTATCCATTGCACCCTCCCTATCCCCCTTTCTACTCACAAACTGGATGCTCTTCTCTAGCTTTCCATGTTCCCAGAGCCCTTAGCAAACTAAGATCCTCAGGTCATTCAGAGAGACAGAGAGAGAGAGAAAGGGAGAGGGAGAGAGAGAGAGAGGCCATACTCAACACCAAGGACCTAGCAGTAGATGCACATAATCAGCACCAAACATTGAATGAATGAATGAAGAATGAATGAATGAGCCAACCAGTCAATCAATCAATCAACCAATGGAATCTAGACCTCCTGACTGCTAACCAAGGACATTTACCACTCCATGTTTAAATTTCTAACATTTTCTTTCTTTCAGTGATAATTCAAGTCCAGGTTCACCAGAAATGGAAGTCAACTTTTATATTTTATCAAAATACTTATTCTTACTTTAGGGAGTATGATAAGGGTTTCCTTTGAGTACTAGGCCTGCTATTAATGTGTGCTGCATCTTGACCTAGACCCTGGTAGTCTCTTTCTTAAGGAGATGACACTAAATGATTTAGAATCTTTCCTGACTTTAACATTCTGTATCTTTATTAACTCTATGACTGTTGATATTTCTACTATAATCCTAATTACTACTTTTTTTTTTTTTACGAAAACAGGATGACTTGTCACATTTAAGCAGCTTACCATGGTATTGATGGTACACTTGAACTTTTCTAAAAGTGCCCTGAAGGCAATCGTTATTAAAAACATCATTGGCTGCTGTTATTTTTCCCCTTGCTAATGGCTCTGTCTAAGCAACAGGAGCAAGAAATTACCTTTGGTGTCTCCAACATGAATGATTGGCTTTGTATGAGCTTCAGCTACAGAGAGTCTTGTGTAAGACATTGGACATCAGGGTGCATTTCACATCCAGTGTCCATCTGGCCATAAAGATAAATGGCTGGGTTTCAATGCTGGCCTTCACGAATCCCTACATAATTAACTGTATCTTGGATCCAAGCTTCCAAGCCTCACCAAAGCATTGCCCTGCCTGGTTCCAAACCTCTGTAGACCTTCTGTTCCCATAATCCAGTGTACTTGGCAACTGTGAGCAGCAGATCTCTTTCCCAACTTATCTGTATGCCTTTTTCATACTTAATTATGTTGCTGTGAAGGTGATTTCTAAGTTATATAAGAAAAGATGACTTAGCTTATACAAAGTTTGTGCTGTTGACAACATAAATGTATAAATCAGAAAAATATAGATCCTGTTTTCTAATTTCTCATTCTAAAAATACAATTATAGGACCCATCAGGGTCATTGCGTTAGTTAATTTTGTATCAATGGCAGAATACCTGACAGATGCAGCTAAGGGGAGGGAGGGCTTAACCTGGCTGATGGTTCCACAGTGACTTCAGTTCATCACAACAGAAAAAGCATGGTGGTGGAAAGGCTCCATCTCTGGGGATAAGATGTGAGCTGGATAACTCACATAGCATAAACCAGAGAACAACAATATAACATTCACATGGATGCTTTTAGTAACCTACTTCCACCAGTCAACCCCAACACCTGAAGGCCCCACAGCCCTCCAAGTAGCACTACAAGCTAGAAAGCAAATGCTGAAATTATAAATGTTTGGGAGATACCTCAGATTTGAACTATAACACTGTGTGTCAAGTCTATGTAATGACAACACAACTATGATTAATTTTATCCATGGGTTATTACCTTTTACCCTTCCATATCATTTATGTCTATAATTATATGGGAACACTCAAGAAGTCCTGCACTTTCTATCCTAATGTGATTTAGAGTCTTCCACCACCTACCCACACTGACCTTTTCCTTACAAGGCTATTAAACCCAGTAACTCTGTTTCCATCCTTCTTATACTGTCATTTCTGCTGAATGTGACACCTTGGGTCACCCACTCTTTACATTCAGCTTTACCCTAGGTCTCTCTGTGACCACTCTCTCTGGTTCTTCTCCTATGTCCCTGGTATTCTCCTCAGCTCCTGTCCTCTGAGTTTTCCTTTGCCCCTTGAATGGTGGCATGACCCCTGAGAGTTTACCTGGAAGTGACCACATTTACTCTCATGACTTCAAGAACCACCCAAGTAAAAATACAATTACATACATATCTGCAACCAAGACCCCCACCTTGAGCACTGAACTCAACCTCTAAAGTCTATAGGGTAGCCATTAAACACGCAAGCTTCCTATCAAACCCTTATAGCTTAACTCTTCACTCAGTCAATGACACTGTCACTCACCTGTTCTTTACACAAATAGTTTTAATCACACCTTTTAGTACACTCCTGTCTTCCACCATGTGATTGGTCCATGGATCTTTCACTTTGTCACCATAACAGGACTCTGGTATGAATGGTCCCTTCTTTCCATTCCTAAGACAACTGCCCAGAGTAAGACTCTACCACTCAAGCATTTCCTGCTGATTCTCAATGGTCTTTACTGAAACTTTTTCTTTCTCTGCCAGCTCATTCCTTATAATGCTCATTGTAAAATACAGTCCTGAGTGAGTTATTTCTCTATTACGTGGAAAAATGTACATGGACTGAATCTACCTATAATTCCATTTTTTTTTCTTTTTAACTAAGGCATGGAAGAGCATTCAACTTGGATGGCGTCTGTTGGCTTTGGTCTCCATGCTTCTTAACAACCGTCTACACTCCAGGCACAAATGTGACCTTTCCTGTTCTGAAGTCCATGTGCTGTTTTCCCATCCTCTGGCAGCCTCCCTCACCCCTTGCCTCACTGGTGCTCTCTCTCACTTAAATGTCGCCTCCAGTGTGAAAGGTTTCCTGCCTTCCAGGACCAACTGAGTCACCCCTGCTTCTTCCTTGTGATTGTTACAGCAGTGTGCTGAGTCCTGGGTACACTAAGGTAGAATTCCATTAGGAAGACTCCTAAACTTGTGCATCTGAGGCGTTTGAGCCCAGTGTCAGAGCTGTGGAGCCTCCCAGCTTGCTCCTAAGCCCATTGATCCTCCTAATAGTCCATTCTGCCTCTTCTCCTGATCCTTAAACATGTCTGTCTGAAACCACGTCCCACCAGTGACAGAAGCATGCTGAAGGCTACAGTCAAAAGCTTCTCTTTGACAGCAAACACATCTTCCACATTTTCTCAAATAACCCAACGACAAATGTGTCATAGGCCCCCTTATTAACCTACTCCAGTCAATGTGACTCAAGCTGAATGCTGAACTCTTCTCAAGCAGCACAGTTAGTAGCGATCGTGTCATCCTACCGGAAAGCCCCTGATCTCCGAGCCACTGCACTACAGTGACTCACAGTGTGGGTGCAGTGCACTTTTGATATCATAACTCACCAAGTGCTTCAGGGTACCTGCTTCTCAGCACCCTTCTACCCACTGCCTAGGCTACTTGAGTTGTCTCATACTGACGACATGTTTGGATGATCACACATTGTGTTCTGATGTATCTGCTAAGCTGAATCCCTCCCAGAACCCATCTGCCAATTTAACTGCGCACCTCCGTCCTCCGATGAGATCCTACTTGGGGCTTC